GTATCTATCAGTTTAATGTAACAAAAATGTTTTCGGCTGGTCACTCAGTCAAACATTTTATTGATGATTTACTTATTTGCTTCCTGATTTGTCCTTTACAGTACCCAATAGTGTTTTTAACGATTATTTGTGAGATTTTTTCAGCAAATAAACTGTTCAAACATTACATACGTTACCAGCTGAAATATTCACTTTCGTAACTTACTTAAGTAAAGTGCGGCCTCAAGGAGTTTGCCCAGGCCAAACATTGTGTGGCCAGTAGTACTATAGGTATTACGAGCCCCAGAAACGATCACGCGTTAAAACCTTTCGAAACGACTGAATTTTAAGCGAATGCTCTAGCTGGATTTCTTGGAAATGAATTGCTTTTATGATCGGATCTGAAGCCATTGCACACATTCACAAGCCAATGGATTCCATTCTTTATATCATTGTTCATAAAATCATAGATTTAAATTCGAAAATTATTCTATGTCGTTCGAAGCTCTTCGAACGAGAGTGGCTATTTCGCTTCTATACAGAGCTGCTGCAAGATCTGTGTCACTACGTAGGAATGAAATCTGCCATAAACACGCAATTTCAGATCTCGTATTTTAAGACAAACATATAGTTAGTTTCTTTAGGGAATATGCAAAATAATATTAAATATTAATGAACGACGAAAAGTAGATCAACAACTCAAACTTTTTAGTTTTAAAATGAATTCACCAGGCAAAAGAAAACCTATTTGCTGTAAATTTGCAGAAGATATTGGTAACGTAATATGCTATTCATTATGTAAACGAATAACACATATCCCTGCAGTATAGTCCTCACGTAAAAATTCTTCGTGTTAAAAATAAATAGTATTTATGTTATTTGAGATAGACACTAGTAAACGCGGTTCCTTTTAGAGCACACACCATGCTAAAAGTTCAATTTTTAGCCCCTTTACAAAACGTTATTCGCTTCACATTGTGTCCAATTGAGTGATTTGTTTACTTGAATTAAAACAAAAGGAAAGTCAAGTAAGGCTGTCCAAACACACGTGGTAAAATTTAATTTGCTCATAGGATTGTGCCACTCGAACTAATTCGAACGCATCGTGTCGCAACATTTCCTACTCGCAAAACATTATTCCACTTTTGTCACTCATAAATAACGATTTGATCTACTTAATAAACATAAAATTTTCAATTTCCATGTTTAAGATAGAATAAATTGCTTAATTTAATTATCTTGTTATCTCTTTATAAAACAAACTTTATCTAGTCTAAAATTCTAGTTTCCTTCATATCGCGTATGTATTTTCTCGTCTTCCGAACACTCAGTGTATCATTAACTATAGTTAAACCCTATTTGCATTCGGGGTACATTTTCTTCGTTGCTACGCGACCTGACCTCTAGCGGAGAACTTTGCTTTCTCGCTAAGTGCGGAGTTGGACCCACCGAAGCGCATTCAATCTGCGTAAAATTTTACTCTCCCTTCCCGAACATTAAATTTTTTGAAAGAAGCGCGCCCCCGCCGTGTCCGCTATAAAATCTCATTTCTCGGCCCTTCTCCGTTGCGACGTTGCGCGACCAAGAGGCGAGGGCAGCCGATACGTTTGCATTGCATTTCCGATAACCAGTGAAAGTATTCATTTCGATTCTGCGCTGGGACTCGACTCAATGAACGAACGAATCCCTCGCCGTATTAATGAATCCAGCGCTGAAGAGTCGAGGGCCGCCATTGCGGTTATATGAACTAGAAATCGTAAGAAGGAAAATGAGTTGGCAAAAAGTAGATATGAATAATAATAAAGAAGGGAAAATAATGTACAAACATTTTTTAGTCTGAGCGAGATATTGTTCTGAAATGAGAAGAGTGATTAAAGGATTCCACGTCAATGTATGAATGTTAGGTAGTAATGTTAGGTATGATTGATTGATTAGTGTTTCCGTGCTAGTATAAAATACTAAAGTCATTAGTCCCGCAAGTGTAGTGCATGCTTTATAGAGGGCGATGGCGGTGTTCTTCTCCCGCTGAATGGCTAGACCTACTCGGCGCCGACCTGCCCGTCGACTCGCGTGATTTTCCCCAATCCAGCCTATCTCTACAGCAAAGCAACGCCTTAGGCCATCTAGAATAGTATATTTAAAGGCCTGAGCAAATGAGAATGTCACGTGATCTGACGGCACAATCGGAGGTTGCACATTTTTCGTTTTCGCATGTACCCTTGGGTTAGGAGATAAGCTTTAATACGAAAATATATAATAATTCAGATTTAATTGCGTGCACGGTTTCCAGCATAAAAGTAATTCCTTCGTCGGTTATAGCTGTGCCACTAGTTTCCATATTAAATTAATGTGGACAACTTGAAAGAAATAGAGCAGGTAAAATATAAATAGAATTGTTATCACGATAGTACTTAATCACTTAAGAGAATAATTGATAGTTGTAAAATTGTTTTATGAATTCTACAAAACAACGTATTATAAATAGTGTAGTATAGAGACAAATTTAGGTCTTCTCAATATTATTTTAATTTATGTGTATAGAAACTGTACAAAAACAGAGTACCTTAATAAAAATCCTAGAGTGTCAAGGAGGCTTAATGTTTACTAAACACGAGTTATATTAAGTAAGCCGCTGCTTCGCGATTTAAAAAAAGTACCTCTCTGAAACTGCGGAGAGTACGCCGCTTAGACAGCACGTATTTCCTACCGGCCACCCTTCGTGACGTCATGCAGTGGAGCAGCGGGTCTTCCCTTCTAGCTGACCTTGCACCGCCCCAGTCGGGAGATGCACTAAGCTTCCGACTGGCCTCCAGACATGTGTGGTCGTGTAATGAATGTAATGAATTTATTTGATTGTCAGTGTTGCTAGTTGGAACCCCTTTGAAAACTACAGCGTAAAAGCTAGTTTTATGATTATGTTATTGCAGTCCTGAGTGAATGAAAACTTGTTAAATTGCTGCTCTTCCTAATCAACCAACCCCACTATTTTGTAGCATTGTCCCTTGATATTTTAGATCTTCCACAATATTATTTTTTCGTTTTCAATTCGTTGGTTACATTTTATTCGGCCTATATGCGTTGTCACCAAATTGCTTCTAACGAGGGTACTTGAATCATAATGCCCACCCAGTGACAGCGTGATGGCACGACCCGACGAAGCAAGCAGCTACTGGCGACTAGGGGCGCACAAACTCGATTGAATGAACTGAAAATCGAATATTTTCAAAAACTATTAATTTAATATCTTAACCGTTGATTTTTGACAGTATTTCGGATGCATCATTTGATCATGCGATTTTAGCAATTTTAGAATGAAATAAACGAAACCTTTTGAAAAAAACAAAATAAATCTGCCCGATTGTTATATAGGTTTTGTTTGGCAAAATATTTGTTAGAACTTGTTCAAACTCTTAGGTTTTTCAAAAGACTGGGAAGTTCAAATTACTGGGTGGGTTTCAAACTTTTTGCTGCCGTGACTCCCTTCAGGTAACAAATTCTGCACACGCCTCCCCTCATTAAAATTAAATCGTTAATAAAAAATAACAGCTAAATACCCCCCTTGAAAGTAAGGCCACCATGTACACTTTGTTATTTTATACTTACAGTGTACAAAATAATAAATGCAAGTGAATTTCCCTTTTAACACTTGTAAATAATAAATTTAATTAATGTATGACAAATTGAAGAAAACTATAAAAAAACGAACATATTGATAGTTCAGAAATGTCACTGAGATGGATGGACATGTTTGGTGTCACACAGTTCAGCTCGGAACTAATTTAGAAATGTCAGTACGCATGCCGTTCAGGAGATTTATTCTTGATCTATATTCTTCATGATCACCGCCATGGCTGAAAATCCTTTTTCATGTACGTAAGAAAAAGGAAGCAGAATACGCAAGGCCTTCTTACTTAACTGTGATACTGATTCTATACAGAGCATCAAATTCGTACACTGTTACAGGTGTGACTCACGCCAGAACAAAGCGAGCCGCATTCTATTGCGCCAACTGCCAGAGCTCATGTAAAATAACTGATAGTTGGCAATGTTGGTTTCATTGAAGCAATGCAATCACATATTATACAAGTGTTTTCTCCCACATTCGTTAAAATTAATGAAGGCACATACATAGTCCTATAGTAATGTATTCCTATAGAATTAATTAGAGCATTATTAAGCATTAGAACATTATTTAATTAAATTATTACGAAGTTTTCGTGCCTCCCCTCTGAAAATTTCGCGCTTTTCTGGTGAGGCGCGCCTCGCAGTTTGAATAACACTGGGATACTGGAAACAGCCCATATCTTGCTCATATTATTGTAGGACTCTATCTCTTCTCTTAGGGAGCTGGTTGCTATCTTGAGTACATTTTTTCCTATTCCTAAGATGTCTGGGGTTTTCGTGATTTCCCTGTCATACAGGCGAATGCTGATATGTTGAGAAAATCCCATGATCACCTCTCATCATCCTATCACGTAGTAATTTGAGGATTAACTACCTTGTTTTACCAAGGGATACAGCCGAAATGATGATCCCTATAATGGCAGACGTTCATTTCTCGGGGATAGAATGTAACGGAGCCTCGGAAGAGAACGAGTAGCGCGGTCAGAAATGGCCGATACGCAAATAATAACAATAATAATAAGTTTAACTTACGTATGTTCAAATGTATTATCAAATTAAAATATAAATCATCGAGTCGAAAGTCTCTAAACGATTCACCGGGGGGAAAAAAGCAAAACTGAGAATTAATTTTTACAACAAATTATTATTTTGAACGATTTTGTTTTCGGACCGTCGAATCAAAATACATTCGATTGCTCGATTCGCCCATTTAAAAATAGGATTCGCTTCAATTTCGCAGCAGAGCCACCCATCCCACTGGCGAGCAGCCGGCGGCGGGGTCGCCGAAGGGACGGGGAGCGACCGCAGCGCTCGCCCCTAATGGCTGCGGTGGCGGTTTAACGAACCTTTGTTTCGGGGCGGGCGCCTGCCCCGCTCCGCGTCGCGCGTTTAAGTCCTTTATCGGGGTCGTTCGCTTATAATGAAGGCACTTGGCGCTGGGCGAAGGGCTGCCCAAACGGCCGGTCGCGCGTTCAGTGCTGTTCGGCGGTTTGCCATACGTCCCGAGGTATTTGGAATTGTCCCAGTTTCGTCGAAGGACCATACAAGACTTCACTAGGGCAACCGTAAGTCCCTATTTTTGGTCTCTTGTTATTGTTGGCTAAGGGCAAGGGTACCGCACAATATGTGTTGCTTATTGAAGTTAATAGACAAGACGAGTAATTTCAGTTGGGAAAATAGTAGCGTACTCCTCTCAATAATAACAATAAAAAGTTTTTTCGCCGGTATGGAGGCAGAAGAAAATAATTTCCTAGATGGTCTTTTTTTTTAATTTTCCAGTTTCGTTGCAGTGTGTTTGTTACCGTATCTTTGGGTGCATTCCCAAGACTCAAACTACGGTAGTAGACTCATGAGGTGATAAGAGACATTTAGGAATAGTGAGTGCACCACAATTATCATGGTCAGCTGGCAAAGTTATGCGGAATCGCAGGACAGCAAGCGATACTGGGCTGTCATAATATTTTCCTCATTTCTGTTATTTCTAAAATTCGCCTTACTTCACCGCATTGAAAATAACAAATACTGTTTTGTTCTTTACTATTTTTTGTCAAATGTAAAAATCATTGTAATATTTGTATCTCTTTTGATTAAAAGGGTGAAATTTTGGTTATTTGTCTAAAATTTGAGTCTTAAGTCAAGGTCTACATTTCAAATCTGTACATTTCAAGTCTTTTTTCATTTATCAGACGTGCTCGTACGATAGATATGTAGTACGTTTGAGATAATAATTCCCCCCTACATTATTATTTCATAAACAGAAAAACATTATCAATTCCTTTACAAATCTTCATGTTTCTCACACTACCCGTTGGCAACCGCTACATTAAAGCAATGACTTTGCATTTTATTAAGCTTATTTGAAGTTATCTGAAAGTACAGGGGATGGCTTACCATGTAGAAATGCAAATTATCAGTACCATCTGGATATTTTAGAAAAACCTTGTAAAACGCTGATCAGAGCTGTTAGACTATTAATTCGTTTTCGACAATCAGCAGAAAGTCACACGTCACGTAAGTTCCTGACACTCTGCTTGTGGGGATCGCATCTGCACCCTCCCAATAACCAATGCACCGTATGACGCTGCATTTGCGCTCACTCAATACCGGTGTCGGTGTCGAGATTCGAACCCATTCCCCTGGTGCCCGCGTACATGGACTCCAAGTCTCCAGGCCCAAACCGCATAAGCTTCTGCCGTGCGGGATTGAAAATATTGAAGCTGTACGGGATTGGGGAATGTTTTAAGACTGTGGTCAAGATTGCGGAAAATTCCGGATCGGGGCGCGGCGTGCTCTGCTGTAAATGATTGCCCGACACCCCGGCAGGGAAGGGCGAGTTGCCCTTTCGCCCTCGTGGGAGAACCGCCATCTGCTGCGACGTCGTAAATCTGCGCCGGAGGTCGACCCCCGGCGCCGCCCACATCGCCGCTTGCGACGGCGTCTGCGACATGGCGGCACTGAACCACTGCAACATGACGTCCCTTGCAGCTTTCGTCTTCATTTACTGGCTGAGGTAGCTCAATTGTTGTCTCTGCATCGGGAAGTTGTAGGGTTCGAGTCGCTACCGGATTTTTCACACTAGCTAGATTAATCCAGCCTCGGACTGCAGGAGAATTCTAGAGGTCTGTTGCTCTGATCGGTACTTTTGAGTGGTTTCTCCGATCAATACCAGGCTAATGCCGAAGCAGTACCCTAACAATAGGGCCTCGGACCTTGCGCGATTTTTCCTTCATCTTCTTAGTCCTATCCTCACACCTTACTTACACACACACTACCAGACATGGCAGGAGGACAGTCGGGAGCTTAGAGTTTGTCCCGTCTGGGGCAGTGTTCTCCATTGCTGGCGAAAACCATTGACTGAAATAATACAGAACTTAGACACTGCACTGAGTTGATTCAATTAGTCACTGCACTGAGTTGATTTCACTTCAACCTATATTACGTATGCGAATCGTGCCAGGTAGCACACACATGAGCTGGCGGTGAAGAGCTACTAAATATGCTTGCCACTACAGCGAACAGAGGGCTGGCTCACATTGTCAGCAAAGGTAGATATCAAGGAACAGACGTGTTTGGGTTCTGTACCCCCCAGATGTAACAACCACGGTTTACTGCCAGTGGGGGTCCTTGGCGTCTCGATTCCCGATTCTCAAGGGTATTGAGGGACTTTACCCTGACGCAGTGAACGGCGTAAAATAAATCCGGCGCTAAACTGGAAATCTGGAAAGTGTCGTGCTGGCGAGGTGGCCCCTCCCAGGTTATGTGGAGACACGCGCATCACTTTACGACGTTTCCGCTTTCCAGTCCAAGGGTGTACTTGTACACTCGCCGGGGGTGAAAATAAGATCTAGGCTTATTTATTTATATATTTACGTCAAAAACAGTTAAAACCTGTGTGATTGAAATTGATTTGAAGTTACATTTGTGTCCAGAAGCAAAACAAGGGGTCATCTCAACATTTGCTCGACGATCAAGGAAACTGGACGAAAACCTGTTAGAGATGGGGGTCATAAACCCAGAAGCTGAATTGCAATACGTGTTAAAGGTTCTTTACAATTATACAATCCAAATGGTAAATAATACATTAAATTTCATTGTTAAAATTAATATTACTTTCCTTTTGGATAGGTATTCCTCTCTAATTGTATAGAAACAGTTGTGCCGCACAAAAAAATTTACTTGGGACTTAAACTTTTGTATCAAATTCACTTGTTTAATGTCATTTGACAAGGCGTTTTAAAATAACGTACATGTATTTTATGAGAATTTTTTGTAGTGAGCTGTTGATACTGGCACTTGATGAATATGATTACTACGTCGAGTAGTTGTAGTTATAGGCAACGGCGTTTCCTGAAAATCTATTTCCGCCGATAAGTAAGTCATTTTTGACAAAAACCACTGATTAATATATGAAGAGACAAGGTAATGGTAAAAAACCTAGATTAATAAAGAGAGGCTTAAGTGCGAACTCCACAGGCGTGAATAAAACTGGGTAAAGTTCAAGTTGTACAAGATTATAGATCACTCAGGATTTATACTGGTTCCTGTTGTTTGTGACAGTCAGTAAATAAGAATGATAACGAATATTTCAAATTTAATTGATTTATTCTATATTATAAGGATGTATACAGTATTTCCGGGTCTAGTTTTGGCATCATCTTCAGATAAAATGCAAGAATGTGAAAAGTGATAACCAATAGTTCTAATCATAAAACACAAATAATTTCTTACAAAATTATAAAAAATATGTTCTATTTCAAATATAAACAATTAAAAATACAAAACATTAGAATAGTAAGAGGCGTACAAGTACTTTTGTTCTCCATGGATTCTTTGCACATTAACAATGATGTTAATACACGGAAAAAACATAATAAATGACTTTCTTCACGCATGCGCAGCGGTATGTGAAATCTCTCATTTTAAACTATTGTAGAAAATAGTTATTTTCATATTAAGTGTGTAAAGTTTACGTTTATTTCACGGTCGATATTGAGATTTTTTGCCGAGGCCGTAGTAGGTCTAGGCAAAAAATCTCAATCTCGACCGTGAAAGATACGGAAACTTCACACACAAAATATGAACATATGTTTTGCAACTGCATAAAAATATAATACAAAAGATTTTGTAAACTTGTATTGGAAAAACAAGCCTGACACCCCGGAAAATATAGAAATGCATTTCATAGGGCCATGAAGAATTCTAACACCATGAAAAAATACTTTTTTTCACGGTAACAAGATAGTTGTCTTGGCAACAATATTTTTAATGGATATTAAAAAATGACGAACTTCACGTACGGCTAGCGATTTCTAGAAGTTGCCTTTTTTGTGCAGTTGTAGAAAAATTCAATTTTTAGTGTTAGGGTTAAAAATAAGATGCTGCTCAAATGTTCAGATAAAAGTGTTCACGCAACAAAGAATACAAAACACTGATCTTAATGTAGCACATTACCCAAGTAAGTGATTTGCTTACTTGAATTAAATTAACAGGAAAGTAAGTAAGGCTGTCTAAAAATAGTGTATGAGACTCCCGATGGAACTGGCAAAAGTGATTTTATTTTGCTCGTAGAACTGCGCCGCTTATCGGCTTCGTGGCGCAACATTTCCTACTCGCAAAATAAAACGCCACTTTTACCGCTCGTATCATAAATAACCATTTCGACTGCGCGCTGCTCGGAGCAGTGAAGGACGTGTCGGGAGGGCGCGCGCCGGGCGGAAAATTCGCTTGCTCCGCGTGTGGGCTACGACTGCGCCTCCGCCGGGCGCGCAGCTTTTTTGGGCGCCAGATGCGGACGGGGCGCGTGCCCATCTCCGCGAAACGCGGAGCCGCTCCCTGTATTCACAGTAATTGCGGAGGCGGGCAAGTGGCTCGGCGCATGCGCCGAGGAGGGAAATGTCTTCGTCGCCTGTCGGAAAGAACGCTCGGGACGGTGTACCCTCGTGTGCTTCAGTGTGGCTGAAGAAGAAACCGGCACGTAAATTGGCACGTAACAGATTATGAACGAATAGTTTCATTTGGTTTTTCATTATATTTATGGAGCAAGCCGGTAGTAGTTCAATCATTAAAATTTTTCATATGATTCATCACTGTGGAAAATAAACGATTAGCAATGTGGGAGATCAGAATTGGCTGAGAATATAAAGAACTAGCAAAATACTCGACTGCTCGCGCTTTCTTCAGATCCATTCCTAGCAATTATAGGAAAAAGATCGATTTTATATAAAGCAAACATTTAAATTATTACTGTTTTTAACGAAATTTGTTTAAATTTTCATAAATTTACCATATTTTTTTTTATTTTATTTTACAGTACATTACGTTGTAAAAGAAATTAAACGAAATGTTTTAACTCACGTAAAATTAATTGTCTCTATCAAATCTAGTTGGTATCAGTTCTGCTGCACCGCTAGTGGCCCCTGGCGGAGGTTGTTAAGAACCAATCTGCTGTTAGGGACAAGCATAAAATAATGATCTTGGTGCTTCTACCTACATAGTATTTAAATTATATTTTTTTCACACTTGGGTTGAATTAATGATTACCAAACTTTGCAAGGACACTGCAACA